TATTTAAAGATGGGGGCGAGTGTTTTTGTGAATGAATAATTGCTTGTAGACCTATTAACAATGTTTTTACAGATTTTGAAACAAAAAAAAAAATTAATAAATTATTTGTTAACTAAGCTATATTTGCTAATTAATATATATTTTTTAAATATTATGAACAATTTTTTGAAATCGGGACATCATTATTTATTAGAATAATCATTAAGAGTCCACCAAAAAAAAATTCAACCATTTTCATTCAAATTTGTATGAAATATGCCTACTTGTTTATAGCAATGCATTTGAGATGCGTGATTTTTCTAAATTAAACAATTGCGTTGAGCGACCTCTAAATTTTAATTGATTTCTCTGAAATTTTTACAGATTTTTATTTTCTTGATACTCTTTGAAAACCCGAGTGGTCTCGCATAGAATTCAAAAAAATTTTTTTTTTGCATCACCCTAATGTATATATATATTCTTTGCTGAAAATTTCTTTATTCAGTATTTTAATCGAAATTTGCGAAATACCCGCCTTACCCGTTTAATATTTTAGTCGCAAAATATCCGACTTTTGAGTACATGTTAAATACACGCAAACGGCAATATTGCTTGAGCGATTAATAAAAAAATGCGCATTACTAAACAGTAAACCGACTATAATAGTCGTGCATAGGTATAGAGGCGAAAAATATAAAAACAAAGCAGGATTCAATACAGTTTTGATAAAACTTTAAGATTTAGTATTCAAACGGGGAGTCATCCTATACACTTTTATATTTTTCCGTTTGCTGTGTTAATGCTTTTTGTCTGCACTTATGTGCCAATTTATGCTATTTTCCTTGTATGAAAAGCTTTTAACTTCAATAACTCACTAACCTTCCGGCTTATTTAGCAATTGACAATCAATCGACGCAGAATTTAATTGTCTTTTATGTTTAACAAAATCGTTTTGAACGGTTCTTGTGATAGAAAAATAGTAAAATTTGTGGAAAAACGTAGTTTTAGGAGTTTTTTTTTTATAAAAAATGCAATAAGGAGCTATTTTGGGTATAACATGGGGTATATTCGGAATCACCGTAAAATTTCCAATAAGATTGGTACTGAAAAAATGTAGCCCAATAAGAAAATAAATGCACCGTAAAGTCACTGTAAGTTCTCAGATAATATTCGCACCGGGTGCACGCCTTAAATCTTCAAATTCACCGTGAGTTTACTGTGAGTTCATACACAGTTATGGTTTTTTAACTTTATAAAAATTGTACCTATAGGTATACCTTATCTAAACAAATTTGTAGACCGAAATGTAAAGAAATTGAGATAACATTAACACTGAATGTTAGAAAATCCTGCTGCGCATGCGCATTTACTTAGAGCATTACTTATGCGTTTACCATGAATTGAAAGGGGGCGGACGCATCTTTTGACAACCGTGCATTCACGCGCAAGCATTATTTTTCACCGTGCATTCACGGTGAATTCACCAATGTTATCTGGGAAAATGTGTTTTACTATATACAGGGTTGGGCAAAAGTATGGAATAATGGAAATAATTTTTTCCTGGCCAGGTCCTGCAAAAAACGCTCGGACACGTCAAATTTAGTTTTTTCCAAGGATTTTTTTGACATTTTTTTCATATTTATACCTTTTTCCTTTTTTACAGAATGACGTAACTGTCAGTTTATTTAAATGGCAACCCCCAATTTTTTTTACAGAAATGGATAGACCATTAAATTCTGGTTTCAAAAATATGCATATTAAGTCTGATTGGACTTATAGTTTCTAAAATAATAACTTTTTAAGTTGAAAAAATAGGACAAGTAAATTTATTTTAATTTTACACAAAAAATCGCAGTTGTCTTTGACAAAAACAAAACAGGCTGGTAACCAAGTTGAAATACATGACAACTGTCAATTTTTCGCTATTTTGAAAGAAGCAGTGCTTCAGTTCTTTACAAAAAAGTTTTTTAAAATTCAGATTTAAAAGTCAAAGGAAAAATGGTGCAAATGACTGAAAAAGAAAGGACTATGGTTGGATTTGGAGACCGGAAGAGAACGCAGCAAGAAGTATGCCGCTTATTTAATGAAGCCTATCCCAATCATGCCCCGATTTCGCAATCTTGTATATCCAAAGTAATTAAGAAATACAGACAAAACGGAAGTGTGCAAAACGCAAAAAAATCAGGCCAACCCAAAACAGCCACCAACGAAAATTTGGCATTGAATGTTTTGTTAGAAATAGAAAATGCTCCAAGAACATCCACCAGCGACCTTGCACAAAACCATAATATTTCAAGAAGGTCAGTTGGTAGAATTTAAAAAAAAGAAAAATTTCACCCTTACAAAGTCCACTTGTCACAAGAATTGACTGAAAATGACTTTAATAGGAGGCTACAATTTTGCGAAATTATGCAGCGCATGTGGCAGGAAAATCAAAACTTTTTAAATAAAATTTTGTTTTCTGATGAGGCTACCTTTATGCTAAACGAAGCTATCAATAGACATAACTGTCGATACTGGTCCCATCAAAACCCTCACTGGATGATCGAATTTCGCACCCAACGACCTCAAAAAGTTAATGTCTGAGCAGGCATAATTGGAAATTAAATTATCGGACCTTTCTTCATAGAAGGCAATTTAACGATAGGGAGATATTTGGCTCTATTAACTGATAACGTTGTCCCTGCAATAGAAGCCCTGTATCCAAATGACTCGTCATTTTGGACGAGTAGTGAGAGAATATTTGGACGAAGTATTTTCGGAAAGGTGGATTGGACGTGGAGGACAGATAGAGTGGCCACCAAGGTCACCTGACTTAACCCCCTGTGATTTTTTTCTTTGGGGTCATATTAAAGACAAAGTGTACAAGGAACGGCCAAATAACTTAGACGATCTGAGAGCTAGAATCACGGCAGCAATGAGAGAAGTAGGAAATGAAGTATTTGGAAATGTGAGGCGGTCTTTTATAGAGAGATTGCAATTATGTAGTCAAAATAATGGTAGACATTTTGAGCATTTAAGGGGCTAAACATTTACCGTTTAAATTATTTTCCTAATAGATGTTGTTTCTATAAATAAAAATATTGGTTATGTAGCAAAATAAAGTTTGGTTTTAAAAATTCACAATGTGATTGCCTCAGTTAGAATAAAAAAAATTTCAGCACTTTAATGCATATATATAGGCACTCTCCGGTAATTAAAAATACTACACATTTCTATCAACTTGTTAAAAACACACCGATTCTTGTCAATGAAAAATATTATTATTTTAAAAAGTATTTATAAGTCCAAACATACTGAATATGCATATTTTTAAAATCAGAAATTGATGGTCTCTCCATTTCTGAAAAAATAATTGGGGGTTGCCATTTAAAAAAATTGACAGTCACGTCATTCTGTAAAAGGGGGAGGGGTAAAAAAATAAAAAAAAATGTTAAAATAGTCCTTGGAAAAAACTAAATTTGACATGTCTTAGCGTTTTTTGCAGGACCTGAGCAGAAAAAAATTATTTCCATTATTCCATACTTTTGCCCAACCCTGTATAGTGTACTTTATACAGGGTGAGTCATAAGTGGTAAACTTCCCGAAAGCTGCATGTAGGGGGGCCTTAATATAGGTAGGGAAAAATGTTAAAAAAGAGACTGGATCTCTAATTCCCACAGCAGGTCCTGACCTTGGTCGGCCTCTAGAGATTGTACCCGAAGCCGATGAGTTAATCATCCAGTTAATTCAAGAAGATGCAACAAGAAGTACCAGAGAGATTGCTCAGGAGCTTGGCATGTCCCAGACATCTAGATATATAGCTATAACCAGGCGATTAAAGAAGGAGAAGTTCCATCCAAACCACTACACTTAAGTTCAGGCTCTTAACAACAACGATTTCGGTTTGCGTTTAAATTTATGTAATTGGTTATTGGGAAAAATTAATGAGGAGGAGAAATTGCCATTATTATAACCAAGAAAATCCACATAGAAAATGGGAATTTAATCATCAAAATCGCTTCAGTGTAAATGTTTGGGTTGGGATAATTAAAAATTGGGTTATTGGGCCTATCATATTACCGCGGCAGTTGAATGGGGATCAATTTTTAAATATTTTGGAGAACGAAATTTCTAATGAAATTGACAATTTTCCCTTGGCCACATTGCGCAATATGTGGATACAACTGGATGGTGCCCCACCTCATTTTGCCGCTCCTGTTAGAAATTGGCTAAATGAACAGTATCCCAACAGGTGGATAGGTCGTAACGGCCCAGTTTCTTGGCCTCCTAGGTCGCCAGATTTGACCCCGCTTGACTTCTTCTTATGGGGTCATGTTAAAGCATTGGTGTACCAAACACCGGTAGGTACATAATGAGGAGGAACTAATACTACGTATTCGAAATGCTTTAATAACTGTGACCCTAGAAATGTTGACCCAAGTACAAGTTAGTACAAGAAGAAGACTGGAATTGTGTTTGGAAATTCAGGAGCATCAATTCGAGCAATTTTTGTAATGTTTGTTCATGCTTCTTTATGTTATTTTTTCATAAATTTTTATTTTGTTTGATTTAGGTTTTAATTATTATTATTTAAGTTTTATAATCACAACTGTCTCATTGCTGTCTGTTATTATGACAGTAATAACAACAATATAAGCGCGTAACAATTTAAATAAGTTCCTTAGTTACTTCAATTAAAATGAAATCTAATAATTTCCTGTAACAATGTTAGTGTTTACACGTTGCCAAAATTCTCTTTTGATTCTTGGCCATAACTCGAGTACCAAAGCAGATAGATTTTTTTAAACATTTTTCCCTACATATATTAAGGACCCCTACATGCAACTTTCGGGAAGTTCACCACTTATGACTCACCCTGTATATAGGTACTTTTTTAAAATTCTTAAGGGTGTTTAAGAATTAAAAATGTGTTCTCTTATTCTTAAAGGTGTTTTAGCATTATATGTGTTTTTGAGTCTTGATGTTTTTTTTTATGTTTTTAAAGTATAATTATAAATGGGTTTTTTATTTTTATTTAGAATTTGTTTTTACATTATAAAGTTTCTTTCTATTTTAGACAAGCTATCTAGGGGCGAGCAACTAGAAAATAAAGGCGACTACTATGGGCCACTGGTGATAGTAGCCATACTAGCAGCTATAGCGATTTTGAGCACACTAATTCTGCTGTTAATACTGGTGAGGCGTCACAATCAAAATAAAGCTGCCATAACAACGCCGTCGACGCGGATAAGTCAATCTGCTTATGATAATCCTACGTATAAAGTGGAGATCCAACAAGAAACCATGGGTAAATTTTTTAATATTTTTCATTTCGAAAAATAATAATTACTTTTTTAGGTTTATGAGTACCTAGATAGGACCTTAACTGCTGTAAATATAATTAATTAGTTTGTAAGTTAAGTTTCCTGTATTTAATTTTAAATGACAGTATTTTGTGTGTAATATAGTTAATAATAAAAGATATATTTATTACATAACAAACTTTATTTATTTTTACACCTAATCTAACTTAAACTCTTCTATAAGTTGCAGTATTCTATTGTTTTCTTCTTCGATATCTCTTCGTTTTCTTATAAATAATGTAGCTACTGTTGTCGTAGTTGTAGATGTAGAATAGTATTCCTTCTTGTATTTTAAAGCATAGATAAGTTTCTAGAAAAATATAATTTTTAAAGATTATAAGACTATATTATATTATATTATAAAAAGACTCTTTGAATATTACCAAAACCAGTTTAATAAGGAAAACTGCAAAAGTTAAAAATCCAATAGTCATTAATGCACCCTCATTAGAAGGAAACTCCATGTGATGTTCATCTTTGTAACCCCTGGCTTCTCTATTTACTTCTTGTGGCATCCATAGCTTTGATATTTTATCATCTTAAAAATTAGTATACCTAAATTTATCTACAGGGTGTTGGTTTTTTCGAGGCTAAGCATGGGTATCTCGTTTATTTTAAGAGATACATTGTTGGTTAAATTAGAAAAAAGTTGCGTAGATATTTTTAAACCGATCAATAAAGAAATTTAAGTAATCTTTTTGTTTTCGAGATATCGTACAAAATGAGAATTTTTATTAAAAACTAGTTATAGCAAGGTTTTCTAATTCACACATTATTAAAAACATATTTTATAATTTATTTTCTTTTTTTTTCATAATTGTAATTTTTTAAAAATTATTTTTAATTTTGTATGCAATTATGTTAATGCAGTAAAAAAGTTGGATTTTTTTTTTTTTTTGTGAGTTTTGGTTTAATTTGGAACTATGCAGTGGTCGTGAACTGCTGGGTACGTAAATTTAAGCACTGGGCGCGAAAACGCCGCACAGCGGTGACACTCTTAAAACAAAACTCAGCAGTGTAAGGGTTAAGGCACCTTTTCAAAGGAAATTAAAATCTGCCAAATTATTTTTGCTAGCTTTCAAAACTGCCGAGATACTTAAGCTTAGCTTCGAAAAACGGACACCCTATATATTAGAGACAACTAAAACCTACTTAAATTCATTAGTATAGTATCCTTTAAATTTTTCAATATCGAGATCTTGTTAATCACAGATTTTCCCTCATTCTTTAATAAATTTTTCTGTATGGACTTTACCAAAGGCAAAAACTTATCAAAATCCATATTATCAACTTTCTCTCTCGCTACTTTGATTCTCTCCACACTTCCAGTATTGATCCTTTCCACATTCCCTGTATTATTTCTTTTAATTTTAGCCACAGATCTTTTTGGTATAACATTAGGCTTAAATATTGTTGACTCGACAACAAAGTCATTTTTCATAATTTTTGAAGAAGTTGCGGTTAAGATATGCGTGGAGTAAGCTGTACGCATTAAAGTTTCATAGTCTGATGTCGTTGTAAATACTACTGGTCTCTGAATCGTCGAAGTACTGTCCAAAATAGGAAAATCTAAAATTTCCTTTAAAACATCTTAGTAAATCTATAAATACTTGACTTACCTGTATTTGATTCTTTAGTTTGCGTTATTTCCACCCATTCACTATAAGTTTTATTTAATACTATTAGTGCAATGAAAAATATACTAAAAATAAAATGCATTTTGATTGTTTTCGTTTATTGTTAGAACAGATACTGAGATGTCTTCGTTAGACGACATTGTCCTGTTAGACGTCTCAGAGCAGAACATTTCTTGACGGAACTAAATGATTTTTTAACGTTATGGGAATGTTATCATACTTTTTATATACCTGTAATTAAATATGGATAACCTAGATTTAATTAAAATATGATTATAAAAAATAATAAAACAAAAATAGTTTATTTAAAAAAATATTTATTATACTTGTGGTAAAAAATAAAAATATAAGAAATATTTCATTTATTACTTTTTTAGATCGCATTCAAAAATTGTAATTTAAATTTAATAGAAAACATTGTATTGTATTTAAATGTTATTAAGTCTTCTTTCGACTAGTCTGACAGGACATGTATTCTTTATCTGTGAAAATAATGAAAATATTTTGTAACACATTTTATATAAAAAATAAAATTAATTTACCTATTGTTTATAAATGTTCTTGTCAAATTATTTCTTATGTCGTATGTTAATTGATATATTAGTTGAAAAATTAGTTGTTTTTTCCCCTTAATATTCTTTTTATCCCAAAGAATGATTTAAATGAGTCACCCTTTCAAAATGGCCTCATTTAAAGAAACGTTGTTGAAAATTGGTGTTTTCTGGAATAGACAATTATTTTCTTGTAGAAGACGTGGTGATGAATCCTTGAAAAATCATTTTACTGCAGAGTCATTTTTTGTAACTTAAATATCTCACAAATAAATCTTAATATGTCGCTTAACTTCTAATTTGATCAACGTCTACTTTGGAGGACTGCTCGATCCGCCCTCCATCGAAACGTTTCCTTCTGCAAAATAAATTGTTTTCACTCCACGAATATTGAAAGTTTTCATCCTATTATATGTAGTCAGGGGCGTGCTGGGCCGCCGGGACACCGGGAGAAATCCCGGTGGGCCGGTGGTCCGGAGGGCTAAGTGGGCCGGTGTGCCGGAGGGCTATGCCGGAGGGCATGCCGCAGCACGTGGTCAATTAAAAACTTTTTTAGTTGAGTTATGTATAAATATCATAATTATTTTACACATACCATGCATGCCAGCCTGCCAGCTTTGTTTCTTTTTTCGAGATTGTATATTGTATATAAGTTTCCTGAGCGATGACAATTTGTATTAATTTTTATTTTAAGTGCAATGCTATATGTTTTAGCATTGTGTAAAATATTGTCTGGTTGTATTTGTTGCCTGTTTTTTTTTTCAAGAATTTAATTTATACTTTATGTTATTAATTGAGGGGCCTAGAAGTAAAAGGGTTTAAGTGCATTTTTGTTAGTTCTGAGATAAATGGCTTTAAAATTAACTTGAATTTTAAAATTCTAGAAAAGAGTTTAAAAAACTGTGAATATTTTAGTTTTATTTAAAGACTAAAAAGGATTATAAAGAAAAAGGAATTTTTCAATTTCGCTTTTTTGTTATTTTTTTACAAAAATGTACTTGAATCGTCTTGCATGTAAGACAAAATTTAGTGGTAAAATGATTTAAATGCAATTACTTTACTAGAACAAAACTTTATTTTTTAAAATTTGGGTAATTACCCAGAAAACACACTAGTCCGGCATGCAAGGGCACATAAATGGGCCATTGCATTATGTAATGGCCCAGTAATGCGCCGTTGCATGGCCGGAATAGTGTGTTTGCTGGGAAGTTTTACAACAAAAAGTATTATTCATAATCAAAATCTAATACAACGTTTTCTTCATCTGAATTAGCTGGTCTTGGTTGGGGTTGACCTAAATTGGATTTTTTTTGGCTCAATAGGGCTATGGTCTTAGTTTGTTTCTTTTTTTCTGATGGATCTCGATCGTACTCTATGTTTTTATAAAATAAATGGTAAATTGGCGGAATATAGTCCAATAAGGTACCTAAGCGGCTTTTTTTTAGTTTTTGCTGGGGTTACATGGCCTTCTTCTTCTACTTCTTCATTGATGTCAGGAACATAGTTACTATGTTGAATCCTCATCAGTCTGGACCGATGCCATAATCGTAACGCTGGCTGATGTCGTTCCGACCCCGGTCACACTTTGTCGAAACGAGCTACTTGTCAAGGCTTTAGCAGCATAGATAATAGCCTATGTTTAGCAGTAAAAGGTGCACTTAAATCGTTTTACCAAAGATATATTTTAAAATATTTTGCCAGGTTTTTAAAGACGATAAGAAATGGCGCCAGGGAATGTAAAATGTACTTATATGATTTTACCACTAAGTTAGAATATTCTTTAGGTGTGATATTCTGCACTTAGACCATTTATTTAAAAAAGTGCACTTGTACCGTTTTACTTCCAAGCCCCTCAATTATTAATAAATGTTTGAAATTTTTTTACTCAAAAAAAATTCAGAAAAATCGGCCAACTACACACGAAAAATGGGGGGTGAACAAAACCAAGTGGTTTTGTTCACCCCCCATTTTTCGTGTGTAGTTGGCCGATTTTTCTGAATTTCCCGGGCCGGTCTGATATAGCCAGCACGCCCCTGTATGTAGTCCACAATGTACCCGATAATTTCAAGAAAGCTTTTGTGAAGAAAAGTAAGCACCCTGAAACCACGAAGAAAATGCTGCTATCCGCGATGTTCAATGTATCGCAACCCAAAAACTGCCATCTCCCACAATAGAACCGCCGCATACAGAATGCCGTCTTCTGAAATCAAAACTCCGATACCCATTTCTTCTGCGAAGGTCCCGCTCCTACCCGTCGCCGCCGCATCCCAAGGAACCACCGTCTTCAAAGAAGATCCAGCTGCACGCAAGGAACCATTTTCCGAAAACCGTCGCTTCCACTGTGCCCTCTGGTACATGGTTGCATTATCTTATACAGACTTAATTTAAGATACATAATTGATAATTACAGGGATTATAAGTATACATTTTGATTAGTTGCAAAATAAAAAATTTACCTCTTAAATTTAATCCTATTCTCATTGTTTCACTTTTGTGGTGGCTTTTATCTTTCATTTGAAATCTTGGTGTTCAACCTGATAAAACAGTTTTTGATTTGTAAATATTTCAAAAGTTACCTTTTAAAGTTTCTTTAGGTGTTCCAACATGGATATCAAAACTTGTCATTTGGATAAAATCAATTGTAAATTGTAAGTTTTAAAGTCCTTTAGAAGTAACCTTCCCTAAGAAAAAACAACTGTCGTTTTGAAAATAAGACCAAGTTAATTGGAATAAACTTCATTTTAGGTTCTTATTTCGTTTTTGAAATCCATCAAATGTTACCTGTTGACCATTGTTTTAAAACGTGCTTGTTAATAAAGCGTTTCATTTGAAACTTGGACATTCCTGATAAAAGCAGATTTTGTTTTGCAAATATTTAAAAAAAAAATACCTCCATTCGTTCTCGATATTCTTAATTATCAGTATGGAAAATGGTTTACGATTTTCTCTGCATTCAAAACTCAGGGCTTTGATCTTATTAGTAGGGCCTACGTTTCCCTAATAAACAAACTTTTGATTGTGGAAAATATAAAAAATTACCTTTTTACTAAACTCTAAAAAATTCTTCAACATCTAAAATCGGGTAAATTCCTCTTACCAGGTCAATTTTAATTTTAAATCATCATGGTTTTAATTTTAAATCATCATGATACGGTGCAAATCTATGTTTTTTTATTAACAATGTGCTGTGAAATGTAGGCTGGCGTTTCCCTAATAAACAAAGTTTCAATTGTGGGAAAAAGGAAGTTACCTTTAATAAATTCCAAATAATGTACAACCTTCTCAAAATGAAGATAATGAAGGGAATACCAGGTTGCTTTACTTTCGTGGTTGTCAATCTTAAAATGGATTTTAAAACAATAAGCTTTTTCCCAAAAAACATGTTTTATTTTGCATTACATAATAAAGTTAGGTTTAAAAAAATAGTATACCCATGTAAGTAGACCTCTGGGACTGTGGTAACCATTGTATCGATCTCTATTCGTTAACACTTACCATAGAAATGTTGTAGGAAGTCTCCTGAATAAAAACATTTCGGTTGTGGAAAATATTGAAATTTCAAGTATTTCAGCTTTTTTAATAAAAGGGACACTAGGGAGGTGCTGAGCGTTCGTCAGGCTCTATTTTGATTTCAAATCATCAAAGGGTTTTTCTGACAAAATACAGTTTTTGTTTTGCATAACATTACATTTACCTTTTCACAATTTATGATCAAAGACTATGTATCATCTGTACGAGTTTCTATGGGTTTTTGGTGGAACAGTGCTGTTGAGCATGGCTGATAAAAAACCTTTTGATTGTCAAAATAGCAAACCAAAGTTATCTTTAATTAACTCCAAGTAATGCGCAAGCTTCTCTATAGAAATATAGTTTTAATTGTAGACCGATTTCTATGGTTTGTCAATGTTGGAGGTTTTCCTGATAAACAAACTTTAGATTTTGGAAAAACCAAAAATTACCTTTTAATTTGCACACTTGTCGAATAAAAAGAATACTAGGAAGTCGCTCCAAGGCCTCAAGTCTTGTGTCGTTTGGCAAAAGTTTTTTAATGAACACACTATGTGTCGTGAAATGTAGCATGGTAGTTTCCTGATAAACTTAAAATCGAAGATCACGTAAAGGAGTGCATATGGGTTTTTGGTGGGACACTGCAGTGGAGCATGGCATTTACTGATAAAAACTTTTGGTTGTAGAAAATATTAAAAATTACCTTTTCAATGAACTGTAAACAATTTCTTTAATTAAGGCAACGCCTCGGCGGTGCTCAAGTTTTGTACTTTTCGTTCATCAGGCTCTATTTCTATCTCAAATTACGGGATTTTCCTGGCAAAAAATATTGTTTGTTTTGCATAACATAAAATTTACCTTATATTAAAAAAATAATCATGAAGGTGTTCGCATACCACGTACCTACATAATCTGTACAAGCCCTTGTAGTTTTTTGATGGAACAAATACTGTGCAGTGGAATGTAGCTTGGTGTTTTCCTGATAAACAAACTTTTAATCATTTTCAAGTAATGCACAAGCTTCTTTTTATTAAACCGAGTAGGATCGTCTATGTTTTATTATTGTTACTGTTGATCAATTGGACTTGGTTGGACGTTTTCGTAATAAAACAAACCTTTGATTGTAGAAAAAATAAAATTACCTCTCAAT